AGAAGAAAAACTCAGTTAGGGAATGTTAAGGTTATGTTGTAGCTGTGATGGTCCAGGAATTATGCAGGGTGATATCTTTTATTAGACCAACTATCTAACTCTATCCCAACTAAATTGTTCGTCCAATAAAAGATATTGCCCTAAGAAATCCTTGCCTCTTGCAGAGTTAGGGAAGCAATGTTGTCCTAATTGGGACAAAAAGGCAAATGTTTAATTTTTCACAGAAATAAATTTCAGAGTATTTTCATTTCGGAAACATTGAAATGTTCCCACAGTTGGGCTGCTTCATCACTTTCAGTATGCTCACTGGACTGCTCTTAGGGACTGAGAGGACACTGAGAGCAAGTTGAACCAACTGCAGCTGGCTAGACATTTTCCACTTAAAATGTTGACTTGAAATCTGAAATATGCTGCCAGAACACCCGCATTTCATAAGGATCAGGTAGATTTCCATCAGAATTCTTCCTAGCTTCCTGCCTGCCTCTCTGCCGTGTAAGGCTAGACTGCTTCCTCAGTGGTCCTTGAAAAGCACCATTAGGGAAGGTAAAACACTTGGAGAAAGGAGTCTTAATTTTCACTTGGCTTACTATTAGTTGGGGCTTTCCGGACTGGACTGGATTGTGTCCATTTGTCCATAGATTACCTTATTTACTCAAATATAAGATGACCCCTAACAATTAGATTCTATATATGAAACGTGTATAAACTTATAATGTTCCAGGCATAGAATCTAATTATTGAATGTTTAACTTGAATTTGTCCCACTTGCACTGCTACCACAGGGAAAATTTAAATTTGAAGATCAGGTAGCCCCCTTGCCCTCTGCCCCCCACAGTTTATTCCCTCTGCAGATCCTTCCCCCCCTTCCTTACTGTCAGACCCTGCTATCCCTGGGAGCATAGAAGTAAGGAGGAAACTTGAAAATACTGGCCTTGAAATGAACACACCTGAAGTAATCTGCATATATAACCCACAGGCTTAGTTCAGTCAGAACTGATGCATTTTACCTCTTCTGAAATTGCTGCAAGTTTTAGCACAGGTACTCCATAAACACACTTTTAAGCAGCATTTTTGCACCTACTTATATATAGTACAAACTATGCGTGATTAGTCCAAAGCCAAAAGACTTATGATTTACCATATAGTTCATTGGGCTAGACCTGAGCAGTGTCAACAGCACTTCAAGCCATGGTGACCCCATAGGTCAGCTCTGCTCAGTATGTACATGTACTCCAGAGACCCTCACAAAGGAGAGATATATGCTGATTAGCCCCTGCTTGTTCTTGTCCTGAGTCTTGGGATCCTCCAAAAATGCCCTGTGCCTCATCTGCACATACAGCCTGATCCAGTTGCACCTCATGGAGGGCCGGCCCATACTAATCATATGCAACAGGCTGAAAGATGGGGTAACTGAGGGATTCTGGGGCCCTATTTGATGTTTGCCAGACATTAAGGCTGGTGAAGAAACAGGGATCTTTGGAAATGGGAAAGGTGCAGCTTAGCTGTGGAAGTGAAGAAGTCTAAATGTATTCAGTGTAGTTGTTCACTGTGACTTAAAAAAGAATGGGTGCTGAGGGGGACTGTGCACGATGGCCACTAACATATATTTTATTCAGAAAGGTTGTATTAACCTGTCCTTGTAGTAGGTTCCCATCAGCATGTTGGCCTTTTTGGCCAAGATGAAATATAGCTTTTTTGGCACCAAGGAAAGGGTGTTGGGGCTGGCTCTGGCCCTCCCAGCCCTGGCCTGGTAGTGCAGTACCTTCAGGCCTAGTGCCAGTTCCCTGAGGAGGGAACACCCACCTATTTTTATTTTTAAGGGACATGCACGCACACTTGCGTTTGCCCAATATGAATCATAGGTTTTATAGTCATGCTGAGTGTTGAGTGCATTTAATGAACTTCACGGTTGGTTTTCATTACTGAGTACATTCTGTTTTTGGCAGCAGATTAATGATAGATGATGTATTTAATGAGGTTTCCTTGTATGTAGATGTAAGATGAGGGGCTTCCCCCACCCTTGCTGATTTGGGGTGGAGGGTGACCTTGCCTTGTATTTAAGTAAATGCCTCTCCTATCTATTTTTCAAACAACACAGTTAAAAATATATTAGTATTAAGTTCTTTTGTGCCTCCCTCAGAGCCTAAGTCTGAATATATAACTACAACATCATAATATATTAACTTGGTATGGTTACATCATTCACTAACCATTAAAAGCATACTTATAACTAAAATGAAAGTGTGCATTTTGGATCCAATTATGATTGTGTGTAATGTTATTAATAGTCTGCAAGTAATCTCTGCTAGAGCATTTCATTAGTATAAGACTACGTGTACACTATATTGGCATAGTATTCTTATGGATGCAGCTATACCAGTGAAATTGCACTTTGTAAAAGTACAATAAAACCACCACCCATGAATGAAACAAGCTGTACTAGTAAAACCACACCTCTATTTTTTAAAAAAATACAATAGGCCTCTGATGTTAGTTGGAATTGAAACCTTTTTCATAGATTTCATAGACATTAGGGGCTGGAAGGGACCTCAAGAGATGATCTGGTCCAGCACCCCCCCCCCCC